AAATACAAATGACACCACAGAAATACAAAGGATCATAAGCAACCAATAAAATGGACAACCTAGAAGAAATGGACAAATTCTTAGGTATAATCTTCCAAGACTGAACATGGAAGAAACAGAAAACACGAATAGACCAATCACAAGTACTGAAATTGAAACTGTGATCTAAAAACTTCCAGCAAACAAAACTTCCAACAAACAAAAGTCCATGACCAGATGGCTTCACAGGCAAATTCTATCAAACATTTAGAGAAGAGTTAACACCTATCCTTCTTAGACTATTGCCAAAAATCACAGAGGAAGGAACACTCCCAAATTCATTCTATGAGACCACCATCACTCTGATACCAAAACCAGACAAAGATACCACACAAAAAATTACAGGCCAATATCACTGCTGAACATAGACGCAAAAATCCTCAACAGAATACAAGCAAACCAAATCCAACAGTACATTCAAACAATCGTACACCATGATCAAGTGGGATTTAGCCCAGGGATGCAAGGATTTTTCAATATCCGCAAATCAGTCATTGTGATACATTACATCAACAAATTGAAGAATAAAAACCATATGATCATCTCAGTAGATGCAGGAAAAGGTTTGGACAAAATTCAACACCGATTTATGATAAAAACTCTCCAGAAAGTTGTAATAGAGGGAACATATCTCAACATAATAAAGGCCATGTATGACACACCTACAGCTAACATCATACTCAGTGGTGAAAAGGTGAAAGCATTTTCTCTAAAATCAGGAACAAGACAAAGATGTCCACCCTTGCCACTTCTATTCAACATAGTTTTGGAAGTCCTAGCCACGGTGATCAGAGAAGTAAAAGAAATAAAGGGAATCCAAATTGGAAAAGAAGAAATAAAATTCATTGTTGGCAGATGATATGATACTATACATAGAAAATCCTAAAGATGCTACCAGAAAACTACTAGAGTTCATCAATGAATTTGGTAAAGTTGCAGGATGCAAAATTAATACACAGAAATCTCTTGCATTTCTATACACTAACAAGGAAAGACCAGAAAGAGAAATTAAAGAAACAATCCTATTTACCATTGCATCAAAAAGTGTAAAATACCTAGGAATAAACCTATCTAAGGAGGCAAAAGACCTGTACTCCAAAAACTATAAGACAGTGAAGAAAGAAATCAAAGATGACACAAACAGACAGAAAGATATACCATGTTCTTGGATTGGGAAAATCGATATTGTCAAAATGACTGTACTACCCAAGGTGATCTACAGATTCATTGCAATCCCTATCAAATTACCAATGACAGTTTTTACAGAAGTAGAACAAAAAATCTTAAAATTTGTATGGAGACACAAAAGACCCCAAATAGCCAAAGCAATCTTGAGAAAGAAAGACAGAGATGGAGGAATCAGGCGCCATGACTTCTGACTATACAACAAAGCTACAGTAATCAAAACAGTATGGGGACTTCCCTGGTATCGCAGTGGTTAAGAATCCGCCTGCCAATGCAGGGGACACGGGTTTGAGCCCTGGTCCGGGAGGATCCCACATGCCACAGAGCAGCTGGGCCCGTGCACCACAACTACTGATCCTGTGCTCTAGAGCCCGTGAGCCACAACTGCTGAGCCCGTGTGCCACAACTATTGAAGCCCGTGTGCCTGCAACCTGTGCTCCACAGCAGGAGAAGCCACCTCAATGAGAAGCCTGCGTGCAGCAACGAAGACCCAACACAGCCAAAAATAAATAATAAATAAACTAAAAAATATATATATATGTATATAAAAATGTTACCATTAAAAAAAACAGTATGGTATTGGCACAAAACCAGAAATATAGATCAGCGGAACAGGATGGAAATTCTGTTAAATGTTAAATGTTTATCTTGGTGGGGAGAAGGGGTGGAGTGCTTGGGGAGATCAGTGGACAAGGGAGGATTGTCCTTTAGCTGACCCAAAAAAGCCTGTCTGATCATATCTATTCACTATCTGTAAAATTATGTAAATGTGTATGTTTAAAGATATGAAGTAAATATTCAAAATTGACCTATATTTTCTCCAAAAGGGATGCAGATTTGCAAATATCTGAACATGTCCATGTGAAGTCTGTAGAAATTCTTAGAAACAAAAGAAGCATAGTAGAAAGCCACAAAACTGTTCGAACTACTGGGAAATTTATTTACCTGTAAACCTGGGATGGTCTCTGTGGTTGTTTGGTGTGGCTCTTCAGGGACCTTGGCACTCCTTTGATTTGTCATCCTTGGTGTTGGCTTTGTGTTTAGGCTCATAGCGTGATGGCTGAAGTAGAATCCAAACATAGCAAAGTCCAGAGGAAGAAGGATGGTCTCTTTGGATGTCTGTCTGTCATAGGCTGGGTTTCTTGGAAGCATTTTCTGAGAGGGAGTTTGGGGTACAAGTTAATTATAACATCTGTGAGAGGAAGGGGCAGGAAGCAGAACTGGGCAAAGGAAGAAGTTGAGCTTCAATGCAGGCCTGACAAAGGAGAGTTCTGGAGTAAGGATTGCCTGCCAGAGTTGTCCCATGTTAGACTGAAAAATGCCCAGCCTTTATACCCACTCTGTGTGGGCTATGCTGGGAAGGGCATGACCTAGGGCAAGGCAGCTCCAATGGAACTGACAGCTGAATGCTGTCTGTTGACCACACTCATTTCTGCAGCTGGCAACAAGTCTTTTATTGAAGAGGAGATCTAGGTGTCGTAGCTAGGAATGAGGAAATATTTCCTAGAAACCCTCCATCAGACTTCCCCTCACATCTAAGATTAGATTACATGCTGTGACAGAAGTAGTAGTCTTCTCTTCACTAGTAAAGAGTCCGGATTTTTCACCCAGATATGGTCCGGATTTTTCACCCAGATATGGTCATCTGGGATAATGGCTATATTTCTCAGCCTCCCAGTACATTTAGGTATGTCTAATTTTTGGCCAGGGGGTAAGTTGAATTGTCGTGTTTGACTTAGAGGGCAGGGGTATGTACCTTGTTTTCTTTCAACTCCTTCCTGCTATGTAGAATATGGAAATAATAACTGGAGTTTGTGCAGCCATCTTGGATTATGAGGTGGAAGCACATGTTGAGTATGACAGAGCAACAAGATAGCAGAACATTAATTAGCTCCCTGATGAGCATAGAAATGCTTTATGTGCTCCAGGTTGCTTATGTTTGGACTTTATATCTTTTTTTTTTTTTCAGTACGCAGGCCTCTCACTGTTGTGGCCTCTCCCGTTGCGGAGCACAGGCTCCGGACGCGCATGCCCAGCAGGCATGGCTCACGGGCCTAGCCGCTCTGCGGCATGTGGGATCTTCCCGGACCGGGGCACGAACCCGTGTCCCCTGCATCGGCAGGTGGACTCTCAACCACTGCGCCACCAGGGAAGCCCAGGGCTTTATATCTTGGTTAAAGCCATTACTATTTAGGTTTTTCTGTCAGTTGCATTAGAACTTAATCTTAACTAATACACATTTCTAATTGGCAAGGGGCACAGGAAACCATGATTGGCTTAGACTAATATTTTGGGAATGGAATGGATGTTGGGGAGTAAGACACAGAGACATTTATATCAGGCAAGTACAGCAGAGAGAGAGAGATGCAAAGAAGTCGAGAGATTTGCAGGGGATGATAATTGTGATGGACCCTGGAATCATACCTAGGTAAGTGAGAAAGTGAAATGTGTGAGTGATGAACATAAAGAAGTGATAGTTGTGTGGATTGGAGGTCGGGGCTGAAGATTCATTGGAGAGGGGGAATTAGGCTAAATGAAGTAGAGAGAGCAGAGATGGTGGTCAGAGTGTAGGTCGCTTTAAATGGAGATTTTATGGTAGAGCTTTCACTCCTAACAGCAGGGCTGAAAAGAGTGGGTAACTAAAGTGGGGTAGAGGAAAAAATTGTTAATGGTGAAGTTAAGAAATGGAGAGGCTGGGCTTTGGATGGAACATCTTGGATGTGGCTGAATGGAAGGCAGTGAGCTAGATGCTGATATCTGGAGTGGGTGGAGAGGAGTAATTGGGATGTCAGTAGATAACTCAGAAAGTAAGGGAGGCAGATCCAGAAGAGAGCATTTGTTTCAGAAAGGCCGACATTGTTGATGGAAGAGGGAGGAAAAGTGATCTGGAAACAGCAAAGAGGAAAGAAATAGCATTGTTAAATATTAAAAATTTCTACATTTCTAGTATATATTTCTACAATATATACTAGACATAAACTGAGAAAATATGTTTATAGTACATTTACCATACAAATGGGAGCTTCTTAATATAAATAGCGCTCTTAAACATTATTTTGGAAAAGATAACTTGGTAGCAAAGTGAGTAAAGAATATTGAGTCTTAATTTGCAAAGGAGAAAATGCAAATGACCAAAACACATGAGAATCTTCATACATTAGGGTTAGTACTAGTAAAAGTATTAATGAGATACTAAGATGTGCCTGTCATATTGGCAAGACCTAAAAATATTGATAAACTTCAAGCTTGGCATATGTGTGGGAAGTCAGGTGCTGATGTGCACTGCTCACAGAGTGTGGTAGATTGCCACTTCAGAAGAAGCAACTAAATAGCTGTGGTGGGTCTGTTGTGTGTTGTGGATTGATGTGCTTGTGCATCATAGTTATGCTGGCCACAGCGTTATTTATTGCATTTACACATTTTACTTGTAATGGTAACTGTGTGGCCTTGTTTTTTAAAAACCAACTGATATTTATAACTAACTTCTTGTGGCCATTTGTATGGAAACAAAGTGTGATTTTCCCATCTCAGCTAGAAAGATGTATGTTTTTGTTCATTCCTGTTGTTTTTAATGTATTTGTATCCCCTTTTCTTAAGTATATGGCATGAATTTGTTTCATCCAGATTTGTGTAATCTGTGTATAACTATCCAGTCTTTTTCTTCTGGTCATAGTATGCATCAGTGTACCCACTTGGATTGTATTGAGAATTAAGAAAGATATTATTAATATATGAAATTTTGATGCATTTAAATTTTTTTATTTTTTGAATTACAGACTAACTGGATCTTCTGGGTTTATAACAGATGGACCTGGAAATTATAAATATAAAACAAAGTGCACATGGCTCATTGAAGGACAGTAAGTAGTAATGGCTAAGTTTTTTTTTTTTTTTTCAGGATAGAGCTCATTGTGAGATTACTTTTCCAACATGTAAAATTAACAATCTGTGGCAACTTAAAATATTTTTTATTTGGTAACCTTTGACAAGTGAATTTGATTTTCTTATTTTTCTTAATCTTCAATGTTAATTGAAAAAAACTTCTGTGTTGATTTGCAAGTGAATTATACACACCAGCAATTTGTATATTTTCAGTTTAATAGTTAAAAAACTGTTACAATATTTTATTATGGTTGAGGTATATGAAGAAGATTAGACTTCACTTGAATATGTAGTAGGGAAGGGAAGAGATTTTAATAGGCCTATTTATTTATTTATTTACTATTTTTAGTGATTTAACATATGGAAGGTTATTTCTTCCTCACATAACAGTTCCAAGGCAGGTGTTCCTGGTCAGCAGGCAGCTTTCTTCCCATTGGTAGTAGGACCCAAGCTCTGCCATTCATTCATTAGCTTCACTGTTGGCTAACCGCAGCCAGCAGGAGGGGAAGGATGAAGTACAGAGAAAGCAGACCTGCTTCTTAAAAGCTTCTTGCAGAAAGTGTCACATGCATTCACTCGCATTGCAACCATTAATAACCCTTTAAAATAATTGTGGACAGTCATAGAAGACTGGACCAAAACTGGGCAAGTGGTAATTTCTTAAAACTAAATTGCAGTGTGGAATCTGAAATGAACTTTTAGAACTTGTTAAGTTAAAACTGGTTTTCTATGGGACTTCCCTGGCGGTCCAATGGTTAAGACTCCACGCTTCCACTGCAGAGGGCATGGGTTTGATCCCTGGTCAGGGAACTAAGATACCACATGCCGTGTGGCATGGCCAAAAATAAAAAAAAATTTTTTTAATTGGTTTTCTTGTACTTTAAATAGATCTTTAACCCATGCATGATTTTGTAACATTTGGAAAATATTGGTTCACTGAATTATGCAGGTCTCCCAGGTGTCGATATATTTCATTATATGAAATTTAAAACATCACCGTAGTTAAAAATCACCATCAATCTCATCAGAAAATTTTAAGTATTGGGAAGTTGTATCTGGGTGGTAGGTACAAATTTTCCAAAACTCATTATTGCTTGAAAGCTTATATTTTCTTTGGCAACAAATACAGGCTTGCTTTGTTCATTTTCAAGAAAATATCTACCAGATATCCAAGTCTAAATAACCATAGTTTTTACCTCTTGGACCTCCTAAAAGGGCCTCAGGGACCCTGGCATTGTGTGGACCATACTCTGAGAACTGCTGCTCTAAGGAGCTGTCTGCCCTTGCCCTTTCTACCAGTTCACTCCCATCTGATGTCCTTCTCCACTGTTTCTCTGAGTGTGCTGTCAGTGGTTGCTCCACCTCAGCCTAAGCATAAAACTAAGCAAAAAACTTCAAATCCTCCGTTTCCTTATCCACATATTCAGCCTGTCAGTAAGTTCTATCAGTTTTCCCCTCAAGAATATCTCCCCAATCCTCTTCATCTTCAACTCTACAGTTATTTTAAGAACCACCAACCATCCTCTCTTTCCTGGGCCACTGTAATAGCCTTGAAATTGGCCTCCGGTTTTTACCTTTGCCCCTTGCCCACCTCTCACTCACTTCTTATCTTATTCCTTCTGTTTGCTATGTTTCAGACATGCTGATTTTCTTCATGTTGCTTGGACACATCAACTTCTAAAGTCTAAGACTTTAAGACTGTTATTCTATCTGCCTGAAACATTGTCCCCCCAGGCTTTTCACATGGCTTATCTCTCGCCATTCTAATCTTTTCCAAAACTTTCTGGGGTATCTCCCCACCACCTGTTGTACTACTACATCACATTCCTTTAATTTCTTCCCAGTATTCATCACCATGTGAGTTAACTTGTTTATTTATTTAATTGTTTGGTTAGACAAGAAGTATGGGGTAGATGAAAGGTTCAGGCTGGAGACATATAGTTAGGAATCACCAGGATATAGATGGTGTTGATATTACCAAGAACTTTTGGAGTAGAGTCTTTGGCCTAAAGCCAGGTTGGAGAGTGAAAAGGTGAGTAGGATGTGAGGAAATGGAGAAAACTGAAGTCTTCTGTGGAGTTTCAGAGGAGAAAGGGATAGGTCTGATAGTAGCTGGAAGGAGAGTTGGGATTTAAAGTTTTTTGTGTTTTGTTGTTTTTTGTAAAATATGTGATACTTAAAGAGATTTAAGTCTGGACTTGGAAGTTTCAGATGAGACGGAGATGTTAAATATTTGAGAGATGGAAGGAAAAGTAGGTAGATGTATCTGTTTTAGAAAGTGGGAATTTGAGAAATTTTTGTCTGAGTGCTGAGCATAAGCAGGGAGGTGGGACTGGGTGGTCTGAAATAGAAATTGAGAACTAGTAGTAGGACTGCTGGCAGAATCGAAGCACCAATACTGGAACCAGCCTACCCAATGTTGTGAATTTCTCCAGCATGGCTTGGTTTTCTCTAGACCAGGGCTTCTTCCAGGGAGTTCCATGAAAAGGCAGAGGGGCAGGTGAGTTTAGAGGATTGGCAGGTGTGTTTGTAAAATGATGTAGTATGAAATCTTAAGTTGAATAAGAAAGGCTGATGGATTGGTAAAGAATGGCCACTGTATAGACTATAAGGCCCAAAGATGCATAGACCATGTCTATTTTGTTTACCATTGCATATTTGGTGGTCTCTTGCACATAGAAAGTACTAAGGAAATCTTTGACAAGTGAAGGAGTACTGATTACATACTATTAATTTCTTCTTTATATATAAATTCTTTAAAAATCTATATTTTTTCTCAAATGTTTTATAGTGATTATGATTATTATAAATTACTTTTTTCTGTTCTTTTCAGGCCAAATAGAATAATGAGACTTCGTTTCAATCATTTTGCTACAGAGTGTAGTTGGGACCATTTATATGTTTATGATGGGGACTCAATTTACGCACCCCTAGTTGCTGCCTTTAGGTAAGCTCAGTCATATAAATACTGGTTAACCATTGTTTGATTTCTGCATTTATGTATCTCCTAGATTGTATTCTTACTGGATTCACCTTTTTTATCGCTTAGAACATTTACTTCATGGAAAGAGTACTAGTTATGGAGTCCTATCACTTGTGTGCTAGTCCTAACTTGGTTTCCTGTAGCTTCTGGATGAGTTTTTGGGCAGAGTACTTGACCTCTCTTTTTAGTTTCCTGATCTATAAAGTTGTGATAGTAGTATCAAATTTACCTACTTCTTGTGGTGGTGGTGAAGTTTACATCTAAAAATGTTTTGTGAGTAATATATCGAATATATTATTTCTGTGAAAAATTAAATCAGGAACCATGTTCATCTTGATCCTTGTTGTGTTCTTCATTGCATAGGCATTCAGGAGTTATTTGTTGAATTCAGATATAGCTCTGTATGTGTGTGGGTGGGTGTGTGATGTGTAATTATGTATATACCTTAATATGGGTGAGGGAAAAGTTTTGGAAGAGTATACATAAAATGAACAGTGGTTACCTGTGGAGAATGAGGAACATTCCAGTTACGTGTTGTGATTTTTTTCCTACAGTATATTCTGTGTTTGTTGTTAAACAGCTTAACACCAAATACATGGGGTGTTCTGAATTGTTTTGACATTTTACTTTTTATTAATAGTAAGTAGCTGTGTTGTTTATTATATTTTTGACCACATGCAAATTCAAAACTGTTTTATTTTTCTTCCTTTTACTTGATAGAGGATTTTTAAAATATATTTTTTCTAAAATGCGTATCCTTAGAGAGTCATAGTTGTCAGCTGACTTTCTGGATTTCTTTCCCTCAAATATTTGATTTCCCTGACTTTAAAAGAAATCAATTTAACAAATATTTTTTGTATTCCTCACATGGGGCTGGTTGATGTCTCTTGTAGGTGAGGAGATAACAGAGAGTGAACAGAACATGAGGAGGCAAAGGACAGCTGAGATCAGGGAACTGATGTGCCCTTGTATTTCTCCACTCCCTTTGGCTTAGAAATCTCTGCAACATGTCTTTGAACTGAGAACCAAGGCCATTTTCTGGGTTTTAGAGATTCACTTAGAGGGCCAAAGAACAGGGTAGATAGGCCATGCTAAGCATCAAAATATTGGCTACATGTTGGGCATACACATCTTTATGCCAGAATTTGACTCATACCTTGTGTTATAGCAAGAGGCACCCCAAACTTTAACACAGCACAAAAACTATCTGTAGTATGATGTTTTCATGATAATAGTACTTGTTGGAGGTTTACTTGATACTGCATTTGTTAATCAAAACTCATGGAGTCCCCTCTTTATGTGCCAGGCACTTTGAATCAGCTTGCCAATAGCCCTGTGGGAACATCTGCCAAGAGCGTATGCATAACCCTGTAGTTCACCCAGACTGTGTATTTAATGAGCAGACATGTGAACCAACAGCAACCACAAAACAAGCAGAAGGGTATAACTGTTTTAGTCAGTGACTTTTGAGAGAAGCCACAGTATATGTACAGACAACAGGAGGATTTTTAAGCTTCTATAAAAAAGTTTATTTACTGAAATGTATAAATTAATGCATTGATTGTGTTAAAATTTAACCTATGACATAATTGAGTGTGCATTTTCTAAAATCATAGTGAGATAATGTATGTTTAATAATTGAAATTTACCTGAAACACAGAACCCCTGAAGCACTGATGTGCGGAAGAATTTGAAAATAACTGTTTAGGTCATAAGGCAATGTCACAAGATGGGGAGCTGAGGAGTGCTGTTGGGTCAGGAGGACTTTGGATAGAGGAATCAACCCAGTGGTGATGTGCTGGGGGCCCAGAGTGGAGTGAGCCTGGCGGCAGATAGTTCAGCCAAATAAAGAAAAAGAGAGCCACACAGGATTCAGAAGATTTGGACTTTTAATCTGCGTTCTGCCCAAGGCTCTGCATGAGTCTGAATAGTTCATTTAAGCACTCTAGTCCTCATCTTCTGAAGCCTAAAATGAAGGTGTTGTACTGTGTTTTCTCTGGGTGTATTGCAGTCCATGAAGTTTAATTTGACTCTGAACTGGTTGATCACATTATCTTTTATATGCTGAAATTCTGAATAAAATTTGTTTAACAAACAGAGTTCCATTACTGGACAAATTTGAGAACCACTAGAGCAAGTCTCTTCCAGCTGCACAACATTATGACTTTGTGGTGCATTCACTTCAACAAATGCATAAGTGCAGCACCTTTGTGGAGTACCTGCTCGCTCTGCTCAGATCTGTTGGTAGGGAGATGCAGAGGTGGTAGTGGTGATAGAGCAGGGAGAATAGTTTTCCTCTCTGAGGAAATTCTTATTCCTTCTAGAGGTTTTTGTTGTTGTTATTTTTAAGAAAGTCAAATACTGATGAGGCATTTGTTTAGGCTGTGATGCAGAGCTGTTAGAGGAAGTCTTGTGAAAGCGGGAGTCAGCCTGTCCAGCACCCCATGGAAATCGTGGTCAGTTTGTGGCAGGTAATCAAAGGCAGGCACCTCTTTTGTGGCTGTGGACCCTCCTTCACCACTCAGAAGTATAGATGCTGTTTGGACCCATCCCCAGGCTCCTAACCCTGACTTTAAAAATCTGGCTTACCTTCCACATCTGCCTGTCCTTGCGTGTATAGTTTTGCAAGGAGAGAGGTGTGTCAAACTGAGGATTTGCCAACTATGTAAACTTACATAGTGTAGTTGGCAAAGTCAGACTGTGCCCCAGGTGTGTTCAGAGAGCCCATATCTGTCTGGGACAGTTATGTTGAATTAAGACAGTATCTTTAGTTCAGCGATTTTCAGAAATGGTTCTAAACAATGGTACTCTGTGTTTACAATATAAGATTATGAATAACCCCAGGGCAAGCAGTTCTTGATTTTCTCAAGTTGAACAGCTGGCTGCAGCCTAAACTGAGCCTGCATTTATTTACCTGCCTAGGGGCAGGGGACAGGGTGGTGGAGGCAGCTCAGGGTGACAGTTGAATGGCAAGCCTGCAGCATCACTTTCTCACCCACATACTTTCTATTGCCTTGCACACTGGGTTGAGGTTTATATTCATTTATTCTGTACAAAGTTTATTTTTGTCATAAACCAGTTGTTTTATTTTCACACTGGGAAAAAGCACATTCTGAAGCTGTCACAAGTTTTTGAAGTGAAAAGAAGCAAATGCCTAAGTCTCTCTGACAGTAGGGAAGCTGATCCCCTTTCTCCAGCAACGTGGTCATCTAGTGCAGGTGGCCCTCCCACTCCTTCTGACTCTCCATCCTTTCTCCCTCCACCCATTCTGCCATTCGTTCTATACATTTAAATGTCCCCCCATATAAATAATAAATACCATTAGCCATCTCTTATTGAGCACCTACTAGTGTGAGATGCTATTTAAGCCCTTCACATGCTTTAACAGTTTGATTCTCATTACATTGCTGTGAGGTAGATAGGATTTCTTTCATTGTGCTTTTGAGGAAGCTAAGGCTCAGAGATGTCAGTGACATGCACAGGCTTGTGGAACAAGAATTGGAGCTCACGTTTCTGACCCTGAAGCTCATGCTAAGATAACAAAGAGTGTCCTACATGTGACTGAATCCCCCAGTCCTTTACTGTGCCAGTATTTCTTACGGCAAGATTGCTTTTGACATACGTGTTTCTAGGTGGCCCTGCTCTTGCAAGTACTTACCCCTCATCATTTTAGGGGATTCTGGTATATAAAACTGATGAAAGCATGATGATGGTTGAAACCTTCATTTAGGTCTGTGATCAAATGTCATTTCTTCCAAGAGTCCTTCCCTAAATGCTCTTTCTAAAGTAGCACTTTCTGTTCTTTTACTCTGTTTTATTTCCCTTCATAGTATTTACCTCTACCTGGCATTATATATACACACCTGTGGGCCAGGGGTTGGGGGTTCATATCTAGGCTTATTCTTTCTCTGGCATGAACTCCAGTAAGGGCAGAGACGTCTTCACTGTTGTATTCCTGGTACCTAGAACAGTGCCTCACTTGTAGTAAGTACTTAGTATTTGTTAGTTGAATGCATAGTAGAAAATGCTTCACCGTTTTGCAACCCCTAGTTCTGCCTGCATATTAAAAACTTGTTGAATGAAAATCCCATCCCTTCTTCCTCCTCACACCCTGCTTATATGCTCTTCCACTCATTTTTATATGCACTTGTATAAATACACATAATTGTACACATATACTAGGCCCATCGTCTTGCAGCTTGTTTTTTTCCCTACTCATCAGAATGCCTTGATGAGCGCCTTGTCAGTCCTGCAGACCTAACGTATGTAATGACTCATTCATCCAGCTCCCAGATGACCATTTAGGTGGTTTTCAACCTGTTCTCATTCTGAATAGTGCTGCGGTGAGGATTCTTATATATTTGTGTATGTGAGCAAGTGTTTCTTCTACTAAGAAATAGAATTGCTAGGTCATAATGAATGAGCATTTGAGATGGTCATCAGCCCAAAAGTATGTGCTTTAGGAAAGAAAAGAGGCCCGTGTGGCTGGGGTTGAGCAAGTGAAAGGAAGAGAGTACAGATCTTCCTTGGCTTATGATGGGGTTATGTCCTGATAAACCCATTGTATGTTAAAAATATTGTAACTTGAAATGCATTTAATACACCTCACCTACCGAACATCATAGCTTAGCCTAGCCCACCTTAAATGTGCTCAGAACACTTACATTAGCCTACAGTTGGGCAAAGTCATCTAACACAAAGCCTATTTTATAATGTTGAATATCTCATGTAATTTTGAATACTGTACTGAAAGTGAAAAACAGAAAGGTTGTCTGGGTACAGAGTGGTTGTACATGTATTGGTTGTTTACCCTTGTGATCGTGTGGCTGACTGGGAGCTACAGCTTTGTGCTGGTGCCCAGCATCATGAGAGAGTATCAACAGCATATCACTAGCCTGGGAAAAGGTCAAAATTCTAAGTACAGTTTCTACTGAATGCGTATCCCTTTTGCACCATTGTAAAGTCAAAAAATTGTAGGTCAAAAAACTGTAAGTCAAAAAATTGTAAGTCGAACCATTGTAAGTCGTGGACCATCTGTAATAGATGAGACGTTTGTTCATTGGATGGGATTGTGTGCGTGGAACAGATTGCACAGGGCCTGGTAAGGAGTTAGGCTTTAACTGAGTGAGATGATGGTGGTACTGAACAATAACTGGGCAAAAGATAGGAGCATATGAAGAAAAGCAAAAGACGCAAGTAAACATAGGAAAAATGATTAACCTCAGGAGTATATAAGAGAAGCTCAAAACTACAGGTTAAAAAAATCACTTTCACATATTAAATTAGCAAAACTAGAGTAGGACTGGTAATTCTCCTTGTTGGCAGGGTTAGGTGGGATGGACCCTTTCATTCTCTGTCGGTGGGATTTCAAGTCACCATCTCTCTTCTGGAAAGCAAATTGGTATATGGATTAAGAGCCTTAAAGCCATCATTTAGACCCTTTGACTTGGTAATTCTTTCTCTTTGTAGACACCCAACAGATACTATTGTGGGCTGAGCTCTGAGTAAGTTTCTAAAAGTTCTGAGGGAGCTCTTAGAGACATAGAAATGCTTATGGTATATTATCTGTAAAATAGAATATGATATGTAACATGGTATCAATTAAACAAAGAAAGTACATCAGAATGCTAATAGTATTGGGATGATGGATGTTTGTATATCAAACTTTTATTTCTATTTTTACTTTTCATGTCTTTCAGTGGTGTATGTTTGGTATCCATCAACTCATAAAGTTTGTCACTTTCTGTGATTGTGGAGGTTTACTCAGTTTTTCAAAGGAGTATTATAAAATGTTTTACTTAAAAAAAAAAAGAATAGGGTCGTCGGTTTCAAATCTCATTTAAAATATAACCTAGGGGCTTCACTGGTGGCACAGTGGTTGAGAGTCCGCCTGCCGATGCAGGGGACACGGGTTCGTGCCCCGGTCAGGGAAGATCCCACATGCCGCGGAGCGGCTGGGCCCGTGAGCCATGGCCGCTGAGCCTGCGCATCCGGAGCCTGTGCTCCACAACGGGAGAGGCCACAACAGTGAGAGCCCCGTGTAACAAAAAAAAAAAAAATATATATATATATATATATAAAACCTAGAATAGAGAAGAGCTTAGCAAAAGATTCAGATCTGTTCCTGTGCATTTATCACAGGAATTTGGCCCTTTTCCTATAAGTGGCTTTTTAAATTACAAGGGTGAAATCCAGTTGAATTTGTGTTCTGTCACCATGTGATGTGTCTGTGATTATGCTTCCCTTTATAAGACATGTGTTTTCATTTCAGCGGCCTCATTGTTCCTGAGAGAGATGGCAACGAGACTGTCCCAGAGGTCGTTGCCACATCAGGTTATGCCCTGCTGCATTTTTTTAGTGATGCTGCTTATAATTTGACTGGATTTAATATCACTTACAAGTAAGATATTTAAGTCTAATATTTGTGATTTTTTTCAGAAGACTGTATACTTTGTTTTAACAATAATAATGACTAACATATTGAGGGTTTACAATGTGCCAGGCATTATGCTAAGCAGTTTGCATGAACTTTCTCATTTAAAGTTCTTTTAAAAACTAAGTTACAGCCACTGTTTTTCTACTTCTTTTATAAATGAGGCAAGTGGCAGGAAAAGATAAAGTAAATTGTCAAAGCAGTGGGACCAGAGTTGCAACCCAGGTCTTGCTGCTGTTGAGCGTCTCCTGGAAAAGAGGGGCATTATCCATTCCTGCCAATGGATAAAAACTTTGGAGGAGTTTGCTAAGTACAATTTAACAAATATTAGTAGTTTTCATGTACTCAGTAGTTGGCCCATTGATGACAACTTAGTTGAGGTTACAAAGGAAATGTAGACAGACAGACTCTGGGCAGCTTTTGGAATTTGTTGCAGTAGGAGAGAAGCTAACTTCTGTCTTTTCCTTTTTTTCCTAAGAAATGTTTATTTTCAGAAGTAGTTAAATTCATAAAATGCCATAAGCAGGGGGTCTGTGATAAAGAACTTCTGTGGCCCATAAAACCTAAAATATATATTATCTGGCCTTTTACACAATACGTTTGACAACTCCTGGTATAGCTGATAACCCCCATGTGTAACCTTTATACTGGGTTCTTTTTCTTGCCCATTTTCTCAGGATCTCAGTAGTCTTTCAACCCTAGTTAAAGCCATCTTTATCTTGATTGGTATGGTGATTCAGTTTTTCAGGTACCCAAGGTTTGTGACTTAGCAGCCTGGGCAGCTCATCACAAGCCTGGGTTTGAAAAGTAGGCATATGCATTTATTATATTATATTATAACATAGATTATAAAAATACTATATACACATACTTATAAAATTTTATTATAAATGTATCGTGAACTGACGTTAGGGTGTAGGTGTGAATGTTAATTAGCTTGTTTTGTAACTGATTCCTGATTTTCTGGCATGCTTTGCTACAAAATTCCTTTTTAGTTTTCTTTACACTCTTACAGTATCTTGCTAATCCTGTTATCCCCCCTTTTTAAAATCAGAATTATGTCTTTTCAAAGTGTTGTCAATATCATTGTCACGTTACTATGCAACACTTTATGGTTAAACTCATGTATTAAGTTAAACTACCCCTCCCTTTTCTTGCATCTGAGATGGGTAGATAAACTTGCTAAGGAATTTAATACACACCGATCTGAGCAATAATCTTAAGCAAATTCTGTAAACTTTTAGAGACTATCCAGAGGAATGAGGATGGTAGTGTATTGTTTGCAATTTGTTTTATCCTTTTCTTCTCCAGCCTTGCTAGCGTGCATTTGGCAATTTTATAATGCTCATCATTTGTGGGCTACCAAGAATTAGGATAGTCATCCTGTCCTTAAGGAGCTAAGCCTGGATATTTTGCAAGAATCTCTTCTCTTCTTGTAATCTCTTTAACTGTCTCTTCTTATGAGAATCCAACAGGTTTAATTTGATTTTATTACTTGCCCTAGTTCTGCAGGGTTGAGTGACCCCATTTAGGCTAAATGGTAAGTACTGCAATTACGCTTGTGAATGAACTGGCTAGACAGTGAGATTTCTTAAGCCTTGTGTAGGAGGAAGTTCTGCTAAGTTAATCAAAATGTTGCTTTGTGTTGATTTAATTTCCCCCCACTATTTTTATAGTTTTGACATGTGTCCGAATAATTGCTCAGGCCGAGGAGAATGTAAGATCAGTAATAGCAGCAACACTGTTCAATGTGAATGTTCTGAAAACTGGAAAGGTGAAGCATGTGACATCCCTCACTGTGTAAATAACTGTGGTTTTCCTCATCGAGGCATCTGCAATTCAAGTGATGTCAGAGGATGCTCCTGCTTCTCAGAGTGGCAGGGTAGGAGCTTCTTTGTTTCTTTTTTTTTCTTTCAATTTACAGAATGTTTCTAGTTTAATAAGTTGTAGATTGACTTTATTCCTAATATCTGTACCATTTATGTTAATCAAATATCAGGAAGTGTTTAAATTTTCATATCTCTTTATTCAGCTTCTTACAAATCTTTGAATTCATAGATGTATGGTTGTGGTCTCTAGAGATGTGGAGCAGTTTAACAGTCTTTGCAGTTCATTCATGAATTTAGAGAACTTGGTCTCAGCCATAAGACATAGAGAATCAAGCTGGGAGGTGGAACAAGAGCTGACAATAATGGTCTCTCCACAGAAACTTTCAATAAACTCAGAGAAAATTGGGGTTGATTATACAGTAGAATCCTAAAGCAGTCAGTTATTGGAATTATCTGCAGATACAGATTATTAAAGAAGCCCTTTAGCAAATTCTTCAAGGGGTGGGTGATAGCAGCTGTTACTGATTTAGTTTTTTGGGTTTTTATTTACCCCTTTCTCGAACACATTTATTTTGAATTTCCAGAAATGTGCTTGTTTAGATGCTTTAGTTTGTTCGGTTTGGCTGACATTGAGCAGTTAAATAATTGAAGTATTTGACTACCTACCACTTTGCAAATGTTGGAGCAGAAGCCAAACCTCTCAAAAAAGGAGTTTCTTGATTTTGGAAATGGATAGTTTGTAATACTCCCAGGACTAGTCTTTACATTTTAGCTCTAAAGTTTTTTTTGTTTTTTTTAAAAATTTATTTATTTTTGGCTGCGTTGGGTCTTCCTGGCTGCATGTGAACTTTCTCTAGTTGAGACAAGTGGGAGCTACTCTTTGTTGCGTTGCGCAGGCTTCTCATTGCAGTGGCTTCTCTTATTGCGGAGCACAGGCTCTAGGTGCGCGGGCTCAGTAGTTGTGGCGCACGAGCTTAGTTGCTCCACGGCACGTGGGATCCTCTCGGACCAGGGATTGAACCCATGTCCCCTGCATTGGCAGGCAGATTCTTAACCACTGCACCACCAGGGAAGCCCCTAAAGTTTTTCATTTGAATTAATAATTCCTTTGTATACTCTTTCCTCTGAGAGCTGCTTAAGCAAGTATTTCATTACTAAAAAATCCTAACCTAGATATGGTCAGGTTTTCATTAGAAAGTATGTAATTTTGAATTTTATTAGAGATTACCCTTGGTTACTACCTTTGAGTAAATTGAAAGCACAAATTAAAGGGATATGTCTGATATTTAGATGCTAAAGGAAAGACTGTAAATATTCTTTAGATAATTTGTTGTATTTAGATGATTCAAACTTGAAACGCAGTAGTTTTCTTTTCTTTTCTTTTTTTTTTTGTCCTTGCTGCACTGCGTGTGGGAATCTTAGTTCCCCTGACCAGGGATTGAACCCAGGCCCCCTGCAGTGGAAGTGCAGAGCACTGACCATTGGACTCCCAGGGAATTCCTGAATTGCAGTAATTTTAAAGCTGCATTTTGTGAAGCTAATTTATTATGTTTTATTAGGTCCTGGATGTTCAGTTCCTGTACCAGCTAACCAGTCATTTTGGACACAAGAGGAATATTCTAACCTAAAGCTCCCCAGAGCCTCTCACAAAGCTGTGGTCAATGGAAATATAATGTGGGTTGTTGGAGGATATATGTTCAACCACTCAGATTACAACATGGTTCTAGCGTAAGTTGTTTTACAAATTTTTACAAGAAGCTTACTTTTCCATTTTGAAAATATTTAAAGTAGAGATAAGCAAAAAGAAAAGAAATCATTAGTAATTGCATTCCTGAAGAAAATCTCTGTTAGTATTTTAGTAGTTGTATTCTAGACTTTTGGGGACATATTCTTAGTTTTTGAAATTGGGAGCCACAAAGAGTTCATTGCTGTAATAAAGAATAATTCATCTTTTCCAGACACCGTCTCTCAGATTTTGTGTTAGATATGTATAATAGGTTCTATATAAATAGGGGATTGCTTTGCCTCTTAATTTAATTAACATTTCTGTAGGTTAAACGGCTTGCATTTATAGTTTGCTAGTGGAAATTATGCCATTCTTTAATACTTCCCAGGGTTCAAGGTCTTTTGCTGGTTCCATGCTGCTCATCCTGAAGGGAGAGTATGTTTTCACAGTGGAATTAGCTATGGAGTTTGACTTTGGGGAGAAATTTTTGAACACCTACTGTTGTGCTGATTTTGTGCCCTGGAAAGTTTTTCTAAACATTTTCTACTAATGAAGATTGTCAAAAATCAGCATCTGTTCTTTAAGGAATTCTGGAAATATGGCAGTAATAGTATAGTTTCTGAATCCCCCAAACATAGTCATTAAAGCACAGAGAACAACTAGGATAGCAAAATAAAAAACACATGGATAATATCTATAACAAACTTGGTCAGAAGGCATCCACACAAATAGGTGGGGTTAAACCATTGACAGCTACAAGACCTTTGTGCTATCAGTATCTATGTAGGAGTAAGCAAAGGGGAGCGGTGGGCCCACCAGCAGTAAACCCAAAGACCCACTGGAAAGCTCAGCAAGCTGCTTTGAGAACAGCAGCTGGAATTGGGAAGATTTTGCATGTTCTAGTAGTGGGGATGAGCTCAGGGGATCTGTAGTATGATCTGAAAGTGCTGGAACAGTTTGTGTCTTATTAACTTTCAAAAAACCAGCCAAAGACTCTTTGTAGGAGAAAGTCCCACACTGAAGAAAAGCTGCTGGGAATAGAATTCAAATTGAACAGGACAGGGACAGCAGAGAAAGAAAGTCCAGATAACAGTCTGAGAGGGGAACAGAGCTAGGAGATCTCAACAAGTAAGGTGCCAAATAGTTGGACACTACACTACAACAGAAGAGGAGCTAGTGAACTGAGAAGCTAGAAAAACTAGCTAAATCAAGCGTCTCCTATAAGGGTTCAGGAAAATTTTTTTTTAATTACAAAAAAATTAAAATTTAGCAACAGAAAAAATATCAAGGTCAAATCTCATAGAAAGTTATTATAAAAAAGAAGAGAATAAGTAGAATAATACCCCTTCAACGTGAAAGCATAATAGAAAAACTGACAAAAATTATAACTTAGTATTCCAAAGTAAGCTAACATACAATAAGAAAATGATAAAAGACATGAAAGAACAATATAACCAAGACTAGAAAAATTCAGAAATGAGATGATAGAAGTTAGGAAAGAATTTTAAAATAATTTCAGATTTAAAGACAAACCTAGAAGGAACACAGAGTAAATAAACACAAAAGATACTCCTTTAGAAATAGAATATGAAAAAAAAGAAATAGAATATGAAAAAGGAAATTTTAAAAAATCATAAATAAATGAAGGTCATTTCCCCCTATTCTTTGTATGATAAGTACAGTTAAAAAACCTGGACATTATATATAAAACAAACATAAGAAAACTCTGAAGAAGGCAGTCTTATTAGGGACCTCAAGACCCAAAACATGACATAATGGTAAGTTCCAAGGGTTTTCCTTTAATCTCATATATCTCAGACTTGATGTTGGAAAAATCAGCAGTCTGGAAATGTTAATAGGTATAAGCTGAAAAAGCCCCAAGAAAACCCTGTTTTCTCTAGCCCGAGGACCAGGAAAGGGGCAGCTTAGCAAGACAGAAAACTTTTAGAAAATAACCACTCGACCTTAGACAAACAGCACAGAAAAGACTGTGGCTTCACCCCCACCCCTGCTAGCAAAGTGTTAGTATAGAGTCTAGATTTCCACTTATGCCAGGATAAAGTGAGGTGCTCCAACCACCACCCCTCATCCCACCAGAGTAGGGTTAGAGAAGGCCATATAGGGAGCTGAGATTTACTTCTCCACCAGGCATTAATGAGGCCTCCCCCACCCCTGTGACATCAGTGGAGACACTGTGGGGAGCCTGGATTTCTACCCCTGCCTGGCAGCAACAGCAGTAATGAGTAGACTTTCCCTTTCTCCACGGGGGTGGTGTCAGAGGAGGCCTGCTATAACAGAAGATTTAAATAAGGTCCAGTCTCATGTCATGATACCCAAAATGTTGAGATTTCAATTGAAAATCATTTGTCATGGTAAGAGCCAGGAAAATCTCAACTTGAATGAGAAAGGCAATCAAGAGATACTGACACCAAGGTGACACATATATTAGAGTTATCTGACAAAGATTTTAAAGCAGCCATTATAAAAATGCTCCAGCAGTTCTCTCAACAACAGAATGGAGAGGACAGAGGAGAGAATCAGTGAACTTGAAGATAGAACAATAGAAATTCCTTAATCTGAACAATGCAGAGAAAATAAAACATTTAAAAAATGAACAGAGTTTCAGAGACCTGTGGACTGTAACAAAAAATCTTAACATTTCTGTCACCAGAGGAGCCCTGGAAGAAGAGGAGGAAGAGGGTGTGTATGAAAAAGTATTTGAAGAAATAATAGTTGAAAAGTGCCGAAGTTTGGCAAAAGATATGCATGTACAGAGTCAAGAGGTTAGGTGAACTCCAACAATCCCAACTCCCACAGGAGTTTACATTTCATTAATTCTTTCTTGTTCCATCTCTCATTCTCCTGCTCAGCTGTCATACTGTCTTTTCATTTTTTAGATCTCCACCACATTTTCTCCTGTTTTCCTGCTCAGCTAGTGGCCTTGTTTCCCATTTCTGTTTTGAAAGATAAAGGTTATCAAAAGAGGACTTCCACAAACTCCCACCACCACATTTAGCAGTTACCTACATATTGCTCATTTTTCTGTCTTCTGTTTCTTTACATCAGAACTGTTCAGTGGACAGTTTCTGTTTTGGTTATGATGGGAATGCTCTGTGTTTACACTATCCACATGTGACATTTACATGTCACTATCCACATGTGGTTATTGAGCACTTGAAATGTGGCTAGTATGACTAAGGAGTGGATTTTAAATTTTCAGTTCTTATTCCTCATCTTACTTGATCTTTCACAAACATTCGATAAAACTAGTCTCTTCCTCCTCTTTTAAACAGTTTCTTCACTTGGTTTCCAGGACTCCGCACTTCCTTGACATTTTTTCTAACTGCCCATTCCTTCTCAGGCTCCTTAGCCTGATGATGTGCCCCAGGGCTCAGTCCTTGGTCCCCTTCTGTGAGAGTGTGTATTCACTCCCTTGGTGATCTCATGTAATATCTTGGCCTTTATGCTGGTGACTTCCAAATTTATATCTGCATCCTAGACTTATCACCTGTTCCCATATCCCCACCTCTTTATTTGACATCTCAATAGGCATCTAAAACTCCATGTGTCCCAAACTGGTCTTTCCTCCAAGCCTGTTCTTGCCCCAGAAGTCCCTATCTCAGTAAACAACCACTCCATTCTTCTATTTGGCTTAAGCCAAAAATTTCAGAGTCATTCTTGACTTCTTGTTTTTTCACACTCCATATCAGTATATGTATTAGTTATCTCTTGCTGTGTAAATTACCACAAACTAGCAGATTAAAACAACACACATTTATTACCTCATAGTGTCTGCTGCTCAGGGTTCTAGGCATGGCTTAACTGGGTTCTCAGCAATCAAGGTGTTACCTGGCCTGTGTTCTAATTTAGAGGTTCAACTGGGCAGGAATCCATTTCCAAGCTCACCCATTTCCTGGTGGTTGTAGGACTAAGGGCCCTGGCTTCTTGCTGTCTGTCAACTGGAGGGCACCTCAACTCCTGGAGGCTGTCCAGAGTTCCTTATTGGCAGGGTTTCCCCAGTATGGCTGCTTACTTATCAGGCCACAAGGAGAGTCTCTGGCCTGAGTCTGCTAGCAGGATAGATGTCATGGAAATGACATCTCATTATTTTTGCCATATTCTGTTGGTTAGAAGCAAGTCATAGATCCTGCTCACACTCGAGGGGAGGATACTATATACATGGGTATGAACACCAGGAGGCAGGGATCATGAAGACCACCCTAGTGTCTGTCTGCCACAATATGTCAGCAGATCTTGTTAGCTCTTCCTTTAAAATCTATCCCTAGGGCTTCCCTGGTGGTGCAGTGGTTGGGAGTCCGCCTGCCGATGCAGGGGACGCGGGTTCGTGCCCCAGTCTGGGAGGATCCCGCGTGCTGTGGAGCGGCTGGGCCCGTGAGCCGTGGCTGCTGAGCCTGCGCGTCCGGAGCCTGTGCTCCGCAACGGGAGAGACCACGGCGGTGAGAGGCCCGCGTACCGCAAAAAAAAAAAAAAAATCTATCCCTAATCTAACCACTTCTCACTACTTCTAGTGTTGCCACCCTGAGAAGTAAAGGTAAAATTAAAGGTGTGAAGGTGATTGTCCCTTCCACTGTTATACTAGATATTATGAGTCATATATTCTACCATTTATGTGATTTTTGTACTTCTTCCTGTCATCATCCTCCCTTGAAGTAAGAAATCTGGGAGTCATTTTGATACTTCCTCTCCTTTACCTCCTCATAACATAATCTCATGTCAAGCCCATCAACTCTGTCACCAAATACATGTCATATTCATTCTTTTCTCTCTTAAGACCAGCTCGCCAATATCTCTCATCTAGGATTCAGCAGTAGGTTCCTATAAAGTCTGTCTGTTTCCATTCATTCTGCTTAATTCATTTTCTAAATATCAACTGGGGTGATTTTTTAGGGTATACATTTTATCATTTACTACCTTCTTAAAACCCTTCAGTGACTTCCCATGGGACTTAATGATCCTACCTGATGTGACTGCTGCTTACCTT